CAGTCTGAACGTATGTCGGCGTCCACTGTCAGTGAACTTCGCGCCATGAAGGGAAGGAGCGTGGCCTTCGGGCCTGGCCCAGCCCGCCCTCCTCCCAAAGCCTTGCCACATCATTGGGAAGCAGTGATCGCCATGAGAAACCATCCGATCAACCCACAACCGGCAAGTCTAAGCGTGTGTCTTCCGATATCCCACCATATTCCCACATGCTTTTTTTCTTTTGAATATTGGTGTCTCTCGTCACCCTGGTCGTCCTCCACTTTGTTTAGTGACTGGCCCCAGGAACCGGGCGAACTGCACCAGGGCCAGCCCATCCCCTCGCCGCCGTGTGCTGCTGTTTGCTCGGGAGAGCCCGGGCCGGATAGAGGGCGTCGGGGACGGATTAAGCAAGTGTCCTTGTCCATCTTGAAGCCGGTCGCCGCCTCGGCAGGCGCTGCTCGCCTGTGGCCGGCATCCTGGATGGTCACTTGCTGGGTGAGCGCGCCTCACCCCCCCCCCCCCCCCCGCCCACTGCTGTTGATTACGACAATTTGCACGAGTCGTGCGTCCTGGAGCCCAGCCCACAGATCGCCCGGGGCATCTTTCATTACATCTGCAGAGAAGGCCCTGCCTTCCGTTCATCAGGTCAATGTGTGCCATTTTCTGCTAATCCATTAGATTGGGTGAATGCTTCTTCGAAATGTTGGCCTCCGTACCAGCCCCCCCCTGGTCGTGGTGGCTGCCTGGCTATGTGCCTGTGCTCTCGACGAGGAGACACAAGCAACCGGGCGCCCGGCGGGAGGCGCGACCGGCCCTCCCTGTGCGGCGTGTTGACGCCCTTGCGCATGCGGTCCTACTCCGGCGAGCTTCCCCCCCCCCCCCCCCCCCCCCCGCCTGGTTGGAAACCGTTTCATCGGCCTCGTTGTTTGGTGGGCCCCGCGCGTTTGCCAGGGCATGGGGCCAATTCGGCCGCGCTCGTCCTGGCCCCGCCACGGAGGGGTGCGCCCGATTAGGCCTACTCCCCCCCCCCCCTTCCCCGGAGCCTGACCGGGGTATGTGTCGATGCTCGTACGAGCCTGAGCAACTCGCTCAGACGGCGATCGATCGGTCGCCGTCTGCCGGCGAGATCGCCCACACCCACACCCGTATCCGTTTCCCCCCCCGCCCCCCGCCCAGGCGCGCACCGGACCCAGCCTCCTCCCTTGGTGGTCCGCCTCGCGCGGATCGCGCTCAGGGCCCCCGCCCTCTGCCCCAGCTCCCTTTGCCGGGGCATCCCCCCCCCCCACCACACTGGTGTGCCGCTCCGGGCCTCCGGCCGGCCGCCGAAGAGCCGCCAGCCTGGCTTGTGCTCGCCTGGGGGCCTGCACCAGTCACTGTCCAATGTTCTCTGTCGCCCCTTCGCCCCCCCCCCACTCCCCCCCCCCTCCTCGCTGTCCTCTCCTCGCCTCCGCGCTTGTCCCCCCTCGCCTCCTGGCCTGTCCGCCGCTCGCCCCGTCGTCTTGCTGCCTGCCCGGCGGGCCCGCCTCTCTCCCCCATGCCGAGTGCAGCCCCGCGGCCGCTTGCGGCACCGGCACGGCCAAAGGCGGCCGGCCGGCCTCCGCTCCTGGTGCTGCTGCCGCTGCTGCTGCTGCTGCTGCTGCTGCCGGCGCTGCTGGCCAGCAGCCCGGCCAGGGCCAGCTACACCGAGACCATGCTCATGCGGGCCGCGCGGCCCCTGTCCACCATCGGCCAGGGGGACCTGGTGGCGTCGCAGGGGCCATCCCGCGCGGCCATCCTCCTCGGCCAGCAGGCCGACGGGCGCTTCGGCCTCTTCACCCAGGAGGCCCTGGACCTGGCCCAATGGCCGGAGCGCCGGCTCGGGCCGATCTTCACCCAAAGCCAGGACTTCCTGCCCGGGAGGCTGCCGGCCCCCTACCAGCAGTCGGCCTGCCTTGCCCGGGGGGCCGAGCAGCAGCTGGCCCTGCTCTTCCGGCAGGATGCCACCCTCGGCCTGGCCACCCCCTCCGGGCAGGAGCAGCTGGACGTCGGCCACTTCCGGGTCCTGGCCGCGCAGGCCGCCTCCGAGACCGATGTCCTGGTGCTGCTGGCCGACCCGCAGGCGGGCATGCTGTTTCCCCTGCGCTTCGAGCCGGAGCCGCACTTGAGCCAGGACCTGGCCGGCTGGCCGGTGGCCAATGGCCCGGCCTTGCGCGCGGTGCCCAGCCCGGCCGGGGGCTTCCATGTGTGGACCCCGCAGGAGTACTTGTACCTGGCCCGGCGGCCGGATGGCCTGGTGGCCATGCAGGCCCGGCACTCGGTGGCCAGCTTGGGCCTTGCCCAGCACGGGGACATCGTGGATGTGGTGTCCACTCGGATCGCCAGCTCCGGCGCCGGCACCGAGGACATGGCCATGCTGCTGGCCGACATGCATGTGGCCGTCTGCGTGGGCGGCTTCGCGGCCGGGCCCTGCCCCGGCGAGTCCCTCCTGAAGATGGCCCTGCCGGTGAGCATCGACCCCACCGGGGCCCGGTTCCTGGGCCCGCTGGCCATCGACACCGCCGACCCGGTCAATTGGCTGGCCCTCATCGACCAGCATGCCCTGTGGCCCTCGCTGTGGGTCAGCCACTTCCGGGATGGCCCCGGGCCCGGAGGCCGGGTGTTCGATCGCTGGGAGCGCCTGTGGCTGCCCGGCGACGAGGTCCCGGCCCGCGTCCGGCCACTTCGCGTCCGATCCGGCCCCGGCCAAATGGCCTGGCAGTATGCCGGCGAGGCGCTGCTCTTCCGGAGTATGGACTTCGCCTGCGACACGGACCGCTCCATCCGGTGCGCCGGCGGCCCCACCTCCATGGTGCCCGGCGGCTGGGCATGCGCCCCGGGGCGCGCGCTCGCCACCCTGCCCTCCGACCGGGGCCTGTGCGGGGCATGCGCCAGCGGGCACTACCTCGACCCCGGCTCGGCGTCCGGTGCGTTCGGTGCCCATTCGCCCGGCAGCGCCGCCTGGCGCATGGCCAGGCCTCGATGGGCTCTGGCTCGCTCGCTGTCCATTCCCCCCCCCCCCTCTCTCTCTCTCTCTCTCTGCCCCCACTTGCGGGGGGGGGATGGCTAGACGGGGCCCCGGCACGGGGGCAGCCCATGTGCCGGGCGTCCCTCGACCTGTCGCCTGGCACACCCTCCCGCCAGCGCCCCTCTCCTGCTCGCGTGCCAACTGACAGCCCCGTGCTCCTTTGTCCCCTGCCGGCCGGTCGGCACTCCATGTGGTGCTCGCCTGTGTTCGGGCTTCCCGCATGGCGTCCGGGTGTCCCTCCCGCCGGGCCTTTGCTTCATCACCGGGTGCCCGGCCATTTCCCCCTCTCCCCGCGCGCCCATGCCCACGCACACGCACACGTATACGCGTACACACGTATATGCGCACACACGTACACACACGTATACACGCACACACGTA